GTCATCCACACAGAGGTCGAAGCCATGAAAAAAAGATGGAGTCATCAAGAGAATGATGGGATCTGACCTCGGGGCTTAGGATAAGAGCCTTGAGGGGTCATACTTCTGATTATTAAAGAATGGAAATTCAGTTCAGCAGACATGTACTGGAAGACAACAAGGATCTAGAAAAAACAAGTGATTAGAGACCCAGGAGGACCAGGAAAGAAGTGTCACAAGACACCGAAAGAGAAATAACAGGATTAAAAGGAATGAACAGTCAAATGCTACAGAGAGATCAGAGAATGAGGAGTGAAAAAATGGTATTTATCAGTAAGGAGGTGATTTATCAATGGTCATTACAAAATCAGTTTAAATATTGTGGTTAGGGCAGAAGTTATATTGTTAGAATTAAGAAAATGCATATGCCTAAGACCTGCAAGTCCTGAATATAAATTGCATCTTTCAAGTAGCAACAGGAAGGTATGAGATGGGATACATGTTAGCAGGGTTAAGCAGAAAGTCCTTTAAAAAAAAAGTCCTCATCATGTTCAAAGGCATAAGGGAAGGGAAGGACTCTTTGAACAGGGAAAAGATGGAAGATAATTAGAGGAGGGATAATTTAGGGAATAAGGTTGTAGAGGCATTTATAGGATCATAGCTTTAGAGCTGGAATGGACCTTAGAGGTTATTTAGTCCAAGCCCTGTTATTTTTTGATACAGTTAGCAAAGTAATCATATAGGCTTAATGTAAGGTAATATATTTGTCTTGTAGCTTGAGAGTAAGATGATTAAAAACTTAATGCTGAAATAAGAATTTTAAACATTGGTATTCTGTCATAGCTGCTCAGCCATTTCACAATATCATCCCATAAGTGCAGACATTCTGGGGCACTTGAATCTGAAAAATCTTTTGCCAGAATTGTAAAGGCATAAAGTATTGGCAGGAAAGGGGAAAACTTGTAAAGCCACCTGAACCTTACGTAGTTACAAATTCTTGTCTAACGTGCATCAGACAAACCTAGACTGTGGTAATCCCTGACTAGGCAAGTAGACGTGGATAAATGGGTATACTTTTCTGGAAGGTTGGGGAGGGGGAGAACTTTGCAAATGTTTTAAAACTTTTCTCAAAATTGTTAGAAGTTGCAAACACATAAGTTTTTAATATTAAAATTTATAAGCAAAAGTCATTTCCAGAGCAACACTGGCTCCCTAAGACTCATAGCCAATGACAATCCACTATGAGTTAGAAATTAGTTTCAGAATGCCTGTTCTCTGCTTTTATAGCTACTTAATCCCTATCCTGGGACATAAACTAATTCTTTTTTTTTCTTGTGGACTTTTAGGCCCTATGAGAGAAAGGGAAAGTTAAGGATGCTGGAGCAGAACAATGGATTTCTCTTTCTCTTTCATGCAAGGGATCATGGGAAACACAATTCAGCAACCACCTCAACTCATTGACTCAGCCAACATCCGTCAGGAGGATGCCTTTGATAATAGCAGTGATATTGTTGAAGATGGTGGCCAGACACCATATGAAACCAGTCTGCAGCAAGGCTTTCAGTACCCACCTACCACAGAGGAACTTCCTCCTATTACAAATGGCTATCCACCCTCAATCGGCATGTATGAACCTCAAGCCAAATACCAGACATATAGTCAGTATCCCAACGGGTCAGCCAATGGTTTTGGTGCAGTTAGAAACTTTAGCCCCACTGACTATTACCATACTGAAATTTCAAACACAAGACCACATGAAGTTCTGGAAAAACCTTCCCCTCAACAGCCACCACCTCCTCCTTCGGTACCACAAACTGTGATTCCAAAGAAGACTGGCTCACCAGAAATTAAATTAAAAATAACCAAAACTATCCAGAATGGCAGGGAATTGTTTGAGTCCTCCCTCTGTGGAGACCTTTTAAATGAAGTACAGGCAAGTGAGTACGCAAAATCAAAACATGAAGGCAGAAAAGAAAAGAGGAAAAAAAGTAACAAGCATGACTCTTCTAGATCAGAAGAGCGCAAGTCGCACAAAATTCCCAAATTAGAACCAGAGGAGCAAAATGTAAGTGGATCTAACTTTTTGTAATATTTCATATATTCACTGGGACTTATTTTCCTTGAAGAATAATACTGCTGATTTTTGGTTTCTTCTGGAATTTGTTGAAATGTGAAGTGCTGCGTAAAAAGTGTCATGCTAAGTATCTTGCTTGTTATGCAACTTCATGTAAATAGGCTTACTTATTTTGATGGACTTTTGTTGTAGGCTCCAGATTATTCGAGCTGAAATTAAAAAGACAAAAGAGACAGCGGTGAATAATGCCATTTTCTCATTTTTAGACCATCTCAGAATTTTCAGCAACATTTGAAATGTGCAGCAGTGGGGGAATTTGTCTTAACATTTGGCTTTCTTTGATTATGTGCTTGATAAATTGTTAAATAAATAAATAAATACCAAATTCGTTTACAGAATTGGGTGAGCTTATAAGATATCAACTAAATATTAATACTTTGGGTTAAAATTCTTTTTCCCAAATAACATCATGCATGCTGCTAAATAACTTGGCATTTGGGTGTTTTTCAGTATAAATGTACTATGAACAAAAAAAAGATAACCAAGCAACTTTGGAGTAGATAGCCTCTAAAGTCTCTTCCAGCTCCAAGTATATGATCTTTTGAGTCTAACCAGAATTAAGAGTTTTATTTTTTTTACTATATTACTATATTTTCATGGAGTATGAGTTTAAGTGGTTGGTTAGTTGCCTTGGTTGACCAACATTGATTTAGGAAAATGTCCATGTTTGTTATGGCAGCTGTGATGGTCGCCTGCCTTAACATACAAAATATGTGAGCGTGACAGTTTCTAATCTAATCTAATTTGTAAGTCTGTAATCTTTTATTCATGGAAATGGTTGCTTATTATAGATTTATTTTGTTCTTGATAGAAAAGTTTTTTCCTTCACTGAATTAAAATTAGAACCCCTCTCAGTTTGGGTGTGGGTCTAGAATCTCAACTGAATGACTAGCAAACAAGCATTTTAAAAATTGTGTTGATAAATTTTGTTTCAAAGCATCATATACAAACTCTAGCAAACTCAACAATTCAGTCCTTAATATGTATAATGTCCCCCAAATAGTTAAGTAAAATAACACAAGGGTAATTGGAACCTGTAGGTGCAGCCTTACTCTTTAGTAGTTAACTTTTTGTTTACCACTTTTTAGTAGTTAGTAATAGTTTAGTAGTTAGGATTTTTTTTTAGTAGTTTGGTTTTGGTAGTTCACAAGTATTTATTTTTGTTCTCCCACCATATCCCTCAATTTTTCCCTAGCTGTCTTATCTTGTGACTTCAGCTTTCTTATCTGTAAAGTGAGAATTTGAAATTCTATGATTCCATAAGGCTAGGGGGGTGAACCTAAGTGTCAGGGTAAAGTTACTGTTTACTAAATATTATATTTTTTATACTTTTTGCATGATCAGAAGCCAGGGAAAGAGTACATTGATTAGAATCACAAACTGTTAGAACTAGAAGAAACCTTTGAAATCATCTGACTCCCCCCTCCCATTTTACAGATAGGCAAACTAAGTCCAAGAGCTATGAGAGTTTACATTATTTACATTGTAATAAGATTTCCAAGTCTATCCTTTCCTATTACATTCTGATTTCCATCTTGTCTCATTTATTCTTATAATGTTAATTATGAAATTTTTTTCATGCTGATGGATTTTTTTTTTAAGTATGCTGGTCCATTTTCCTGCCTTAGTAACTGCAGTATGCAAAAAAAATTCTTTTTCAGGATGTTTTAATTTCTCAAGGTCATCATTCTGAATATTGGTTGATATTATGATTTTACAGCTGTGTAAATGGAGAAGGTATTAGGGAAGTGGGCCAAATGGTACCGGATCAACTTACCCTGAAAGCTGTTTTTGTTGTTGTTAATCACAGAGACTTAAAAAAAATTTTTTTCCAGTTCCAAATTCTCTACCTTCCCCCTTCCCTACCCCCTACTCAATGACAAGACCAAAAACCAAAATCTATTACAAATATGTATAGTCATTCAGAACATTTCTGCATTAGCCTTTTCTCCTCATCCACTGCCCTTAAAAAAGGGCAAGAAAAAATATGCTTCAGTCTGCACTCTGCGTCCATCAGTTCTCTATCTGGAGGTGGATAGCGTGTTTCATAATGAGTCCTTTGGAACTGTTGTGGGTAATTGTGTTGATCAGTTACTAAATCTTTCAAAATTGGTTATCTTTGCAATATTGCTGTTACTATATAGACTGTTCTCCTAGTTCTGTTCACTTAACTTTGTATCAGTTCCTACAGGTCTTCCCAGATTTGTCTGAAATCACCCCCTTCATTTCGTACAGCACAACAGTATGGTATCACATTGATATGCCATGACTTATTCAGTCTTCCTCAATAGATGGGCATTCCCTTAGTTACTAATTTTTTGCTATCACAAATAGAGCTGTTATAATATGAACCCTTTTCCTCTTTCTTTGTTCTCTTTAGAATAAAGCCCTAGTAGGAGTATTGCTGGTTCAGAGTGTATGCATCCTTTAAAAACTTTTTGGGCAGAGTTCCATACAGTGCATCAGTGTACTTGTTTTCCCCACATCCCTTCCAGCATTTGTCATTTCCCCTTTTTTGTCATCTCATCCAATCTGAGGGGTGTGAGGTGGCACCTCAGAGTTATTTTAATTTGCATTTTTCTAATTATTAGTGGGGCAGCTAGGTGGTTCAGTGGATAGAGCATCAGGCCTAGAGTCCTGAAGTTCAAATCCTGAAGACCTGAATTCAAATCAAGCCTCAGACACTTCCTAGTTGTGTGACCCTGGACAAGTCACTTAACACTGTCTCCTTATCTGTAAAATGAGCTGGAGAAGGAAACAACAAACCACTTCAGTATCTTTGCCAAGAAAACTCCAAATGGGGTCACGAAGGGTCAGACATGACTAAAACGACTGAATAACAAATTATTAGCTATCTAAAGTGCTTTTTTCATGTGGCTGTTAATACCTTTTCTTTCTTTGAAAACTGCCTGTCCACATCTTTTGACCATTTATCAATTGAGGAGTGGCTCTTATTCTTGTAAATTCAAGTCAGTTAACTATTTTAGAAATGAGACCTTTATGAGAGAAACTTGCTACAAAGAGTTTTTTACCCAATTTCTTTTCTTGCAGTTTTAGCTACTTGGGTTTTTTTGTACAAAACCTTTTAAATTTTATGTAATCAAAATCATCCATTTGACCTCCTCTAAACGTCTCTCTCTTCTTTGGCCATAAACTCTTCTCCTATCCATAGATCCAATCCAATCCAATAAACATTTATTAAGTGCCTGCTATGTTCCAGACACTGTGTTAAGTGCTGAGGGTACAATCAATTAAAAAAAAAAGTCTGCCCTCAAGAAGCTTTCAGTCTAATGAGGAGAGAAAGAGTGGAAGGGACACTGGGGAGCAGCCGATGCAAAGTAGAATGAGCTGAGTCAAGTCTACTTTCTGCCCTCTATAAAGGAAAGCATTGGGAGGAGTTTGGTACTCTATCTTCCAGCCCTCTAGTCAGAGGGGAGAAGAGACTGAGAGAGGTGGTGTCAATCAAGGCTCAAGTTAGCAGCATGGTGGTAATTTCTTCCCTGCTCCATCAATTTGCTTTATCATCTTTTATGTCTAAGTTGTACACTCATTTTGACCTTATCTTGGTATATAGTATGAAGTGTTGGTCTGTGCCCATTTCTGCCAGACTTTTCTGCCAGTTTTCCTAACAGTTTTTATCATGTAAATTTGTGCCCCAATAGCTGGGATCTTTGGGTTTGTCAAACACTAGGTTACTGTGTTCATTTGCTTCTTTCTCTATATTGTATACTTAATCTATTCCACTGATCAACCTCTCTATTTCTTACCCCAGTACCAAATTGTTTTGATGATTATAGCTTTATATCATAGTTTGAGATCTGATACTTCTAGTGTCTTTTCCTTTACAGTTTTTCCATTGCTGCCCTTTGTGTTCTTAATGATTTGTTCCTCCAGGTAAATTTTATTATTTTTTTCTAGCTCTATAAAGTAATTCTTTGTTAGTTTGATTGGTATGGCCCTGAACAAGTAAATTAATTATGGTGATGTCATTTTTATTAAATTGGCTAGAGTTACCCATGAATAGTTAATATTTCTATAGTTATATTTAGATATTAGATCTGTCATTATTTGTGTGAAGTGTTTTGTAATTGTGTTCATAGAATTCCAGTGTATGTCTTGGAAGGAAGATTCCCAAGTATTTTATACTGTCTATAGTTATTTTAAATGGAATTTCTCTGTCTCTTCCTGCTGAATTTTGTTGGCGATACATAGACATGTTGATGATTTACGCGAGTTTCTTTTATAATCTGCAACTTTGCTGAAGTTAGTTGTTTCAATTCAATTTTTAGTTGACTCTCTAGGGTTCTGAAGATAAACTATCATATCATTTGCAAAAAGTGATGGTTGTGTTTCCTCCGTGCCTGTTCTTAGTCCTTCTATTTCTTTTTCATGTCTCATTGCTATAACTAGCATTTTTAGTACAATATTGAATAGTAATGATGATGGACTTCATTGCTTCACCCCTGATCTTACTGGCTTATACGCACTTGTCCATTCCCATGATAGAAGATGCTTCTTCTTGGTTTTAGATAAATACTACTTAATCATTTTAAGGAAAGCTATATTTTCCTGTACCTTATAATGTTTTTAACATTAACGAGTATCATATTTTGTCAGAAGCTTTTATTGCATCTGTTGAAATAATTGCATGGTTTTTGTTTTTGTTATTGATATGGTGGTCAGTTATGTTTATAGTTTATCAATTCAGCCTGGTCATACTGTATGACCTTTGTAATAGATTACTGTAATCTCCTTGTTAGTGTTTTGTTTAAAATTTTTGCATCAGTATTCATTATGGAAATTGATCTATGGTTTTCTTTCTCTATTTTGACTTTTCTTAGTTTTAGTTATCAAGACCCTATTTGTGTCATAGAAGGAATTTTGTAAGGCTCCTTCTTTACCTGTTTTGTTTTTTTTTTTTCCAAAAGGTT